TATATATATATATATATATACAGTGCCGAGCCAAGAAAAATTGTGAGGGGGGGCTTAAACAAATCGGGGGTTCGGGGCCAGACCCCCCGGAAAATTTTTTGCTATCAAAGAAATTTAAGATGAAAATTTGATTTGAATTTTTTTTCTCTCTATTTTCGTAAGATAATACCAAAACGAATCGCGAAAGTTAAGGCAATGTTTGGAAGCGTTTTGGATCTTATTTTGATTTCATTTTGAGTAAATATGTTTTGGGGGAATAATTTGAGAATGAAAGTAATGTTTGTTTGTATTTTGGAAGGAGACAAAATACACTATAGCAGTCAAATCATGTTTAAAGGTGTTAGAAAAAGGTATTTTGAAGAAAAAAAATGAAAGATGAAGTGATGTTTATTTGTTTTTTAGTGAAGACATTTTTTACTGTAGCAGTCAAATCATTTTACTGTAGCAGTCACATCATATCTGAAGATCATATCTGAAGGAGAGAGAAACTTTTGAAATTGTTTTGAAAAAATGATTTAAAAAGTGTAATAAATCTCATTTGTTTTGGGGAAACAATGAAAACAAAATGGAAATGGTTCCAAACATTGCCTAAATTACTATAAAAATCTAAGAAACATGAATATCAAGTCGATTATGAAATTTACACAATTGACTTATAATTAATATTCTTAAGATGAAAGAAAAGACATCAAACGTTAATTGATCGCCAGTGTTCGTTCGATCGCCGGTGGGTAGCAATTTAACCGCCATTAATGCGCCTATGCAATAGAACAAAGTTTTTTTTTCTTTTTCAAATAACGAGAACTAAGTTGGGAAATAGAAGACGAAACAAGTTAGACATGAAGGGGGCTTTGAGAAGTGAGACGACTTTGAATAAGTGAACTTAACTAGAGTAAAAGTAAGGGCTCGTTCGGTTACCGCTATAAGGTTCTACTGACTAAATAGTAGGGGCTAATAGCATGTCCGGTTTGCAAGATTCACACTTATTCGAAACCGCTACTAATTAAAATCAAAGCCCGCTATTAGATGCTACTATTTCATTAAATTAGTAGCACCCCTCCCCCCGAGATTAATTTAATAGGGGGTGACTAAAAAGGAAAAAGACAGTTTATCCTTAAAATCATATTTTATTATTGTAAACTAAGTGGTTTTATAGACAATTCATATATAATAACCGATTTTAACAATTTAATAGAAAATCTAATCTAAGAAATCGAACATGCTACTAACTAATTAATTAATTAGTCAGTAGAGAGTTAATCTAATCTCATGTAATCCAATCTAATCCAATATAAGAAACCGAACGAGCCCTAAGTGGATAAAATAATATAATTGGGTAGGCAAAAAAAAAAACAAAAAAAAAGGAATATATATATATATATATATATATATATATATATATATATATATATATATATATATATATATATATATATATATATATATATATATATATATATATATATATATATATATATATATATATATATATATATATATATATGGACTCCCCCCTGTATATATATATATATATATATATATATATATATATATAAGTCGATTTTTAATATTTTTTAGATTTCGTTCGGTTTCACACGAACATAGACATTTTACTCGTGTGAAACCACGCGAGAGAAACACTTTGTTCGCGTGGAACCACACGAGCCCAAAAAAAAATTAAAATCGACTTATTTTT